GGACCAGTTCCTCAAGAGGCTGTTCTCCAAGCTCCTCCAGGTACAGCGTGTGCTTGATGTGGATGTTGGCTGTCACAACTCCACAGTTGCCCCCTCCACGTGGTGTTTACACAGGGGTGTCCCCCGGCCCTGAGCCAGCTGGGTTTCCCAGCCAACTCTTGGGTTTTTCTCCAAACCCTCCCCGGTGTTCCCAGGGCTTCCACCCACCATCTCCATAAGGTGATGCACCACTTGGCTAGAGCCAAGATACCCCAAGCCATATTGAGACACTTATGGCAACTGCTCCATGTCTCGCTGCTCAAGCTCCAGGGGGGAGCTGGGGCTATGGTACAGTTTGTGCATCTTGAGTGTCCCTCTTCTGGCAGGCTGAGAGCTACCAAGCAACTGTTCCCAATCCTTGCTGGCCCATGGGCTACAACACAAGCCTGTCACTGAGCAGCATCTATGACAGCCCCTGCACAGAGAAGGAGAGGCCAAGCCTTGTCCTCAACACCACCGTCACCTTGTTTGGCACCGGGAACGGGAACCTCTGTGCTCTGCATGTCAGCAAGCTCTTCGACTTCACCACCTGCTCCTTCTCCCACTGCTCCTTTGATGGCGTTTTCCAGCCGAAGGTTTCAGGAAACTTCATTGTAAGTCCCAGCCTGCAGCAGGGTGGCGACCCAGCTGCCGGGTGGGTAGGTTGTCCCCAGCACCCCCAGCATCACATGGCAGCAAAGCCAGGCCCCCAGCTCTGCAAGGGGGATTTTGTGCTCACCACACCGGTCAGTCTCTGTTCATGGTCAGAGAAAGAACCTGTCCAACAGCTGCTCCCTTTCCTCCATCAGGCCTTCTCTGCATTCTTCTACACGGTGGACTTCATCCAGACTGTGATGGAGAGACCCGTGCACCTGCCCAGTGACCTGAAGGATGCTGCGGAGACCATCTGTGCCACCAGCTGGAGTGAGGTGGGTTCCCTAGGTACAGCAGGGAAGAGGGGGCTGCTTTGTGGGGGGCATAACCCAGGCTCTGAGAGTAGCCCTTGGAGGGGGCTGGGTGTCCTGGCCCCCATGGAGTAGGAGTAAGGCAGGTGACAGCTCCCACATGGGACCAGGAGGGGCTCAGGTGGGTATGGGCAGCCTTGGCCTGACAGATGCAACCACCCAGAGCTTCAGGCCACAGACACAAGCCTGGCCCCTGCTGGCTTGACCCCTCTTCTCCTTCCCTCCATGCATCCCACCCAGCTACTCCAGAAAGCCCCCAAGCTGGAGAAGAGGCTGCCAGATTACTGTGCTGTCAGCATGTTCGTGTATTTGCTCACCACCAGAGGCTACAACTTCAACAACCACTCCTTCCCCAACATCATCTTTCAGAAGAAAGTGAGTAGTACCAGAGCACATCTCCATTCCATGGGATCTTTCTGGAGTTAGGTGGGAGATGATTCTACACCATGATCTTTCTACACCAAGCAGAGTGAAGGAAGATCTTGGGGAACAGGGGCAGGACAGAACTCTCAGTTTTTGATTGGATCTCCCCGGGAATGGGAAAAAATGAGCTGAGCTCGCTGTAGGGTGGGGTGAGGTCCTTCAGCCCTTCCTTGGCCCTCAAGACACCAGCCGTCCCAAACTATGCTTTGCTTAGGCTTTTTGGGAAGTTACCTCAGGGCAGGATCTCACTTTTGGCTGCACACACCATGGGATGGGCAATGAGATCAGGACTGAACTGAGCAGACAAGGTTCTGCTCCCATGGGATGAGCCCACTTTAGCACAGGATGGTCACTGCTCTGTCCGTGGGCTGACTGGATCCATGGGCAAGCAAGAGCTCAGGGTGTTCTGGGTGCCTCACACCCTTCTCCTCCCTTGGGCTGACACTGAGGTGGTCCCTGAAAAGGCTAGAGCACAACTCTAATGAGGACTGGCTGAGGAAGCTGGGGGGGGGGGGGGGGGGGGGCCCCGGGGGGAAAAGGGGGTGGGGGGGGCGTTGTTTTTTTTTTCAGCCACCCCAAAAAGAGGGGGGGGGGGGGTGGGGGTGGGGATCCCCCGGG